ACGCTACATACCTCGGGTTGACCGAACGTTCTGAGAACATCACATAAGAATATTCAAAAGAAGATATTTTTTGTTCTACCTTATTAAATGTTCAAAATAGTCACCATGATTATTTATACAAAGTTCCATCCTTTCTAAGAGTTTGTTCAAAGTTTTTAAAATTCTTTTTCGAAAATGTTCTTTACTATCTTAATCTAAAAGAATGTTAGAAATAAATTCAAGATAGAGTTGTTATATACATTATTGTAGACGAGGCACCTACTGCAGAGATGGAACCGGTACCGGTTACCGGCCGGTCCGGTCCGGTACCGGTCTGGGTTTTGGATCGACCGGTCTACCGGTCTACCGGTCCATACCGGTCCATACCGGTCTACCGGTCTACCGGTCCATACCGGTCTACCGGTCCATACCGGTCTACCGGTCCATACCGGTCTACCGGTCCATACCGGTCTGCCGGTCCATACCGGTCTACCGGTCTACCGGTCCATACCGGTCCATACCGGTCTACCGGTCCATACCGGTCCATACCGGTCTATACTGATCTATATTTTTCACTTTCCTGCTCTATGATTGCATTCAAGGTATGAAGGTAACGCACCAGAGAGTTCACTGCACAAGAGGATTTCATTTTAGGCTGCAGCCTGTTGTCTGTAGATCGATATTTTATCGATAGGTCGGGTTTTCCTGATAAACTAGCGTATCATCAGTATTCTGTCACTATCAGTAGACCGGTTTGGACCAGTCAGACTGGTTTAGACCGGTAGACCGGTATGGACCGGTAGCAAGGGGGAAACAGCTAAAATCTGATTTTTTTGATTTTTTTGATTTTTTTGATTTTTCTGGTTTTTTTGATTTCTTTTTTGATTTTTTTGATTTAAATCAATTGATTTTAAATCAACAAAATGCGAAAAGAAAACAAAAAAATCAAAACAGAAATCAGAAAAATCAGAAAAATCAAAAAAATCAAAAATTCAGAAAAATCAAACAAAAAATCAACAAAATCAAAAATATCACTGAAATCAATAAAATCTAATATCAGCTGCTCCACCCTTGATTGATGTTTTGAACAACAGAGATTAAAGATTTTTTGATTTTTGTTGATTTTTTTGATTTTTTCGATTTTTTTGATTTTTTCGATTTTTTTAGTTTTTTTGATTTTTTTGATTTTTTTTCTGATTTAAATCAAAAAAATCAGCGGTTTCCCCCTAGACCGGTAGACCGGTATGGACCGGTAGACCGGTATGGACCGGTAGACCGGTATGGACCGGTAGACCGGTAGACCGGTATGGACCGGTAGACCGGTATGGACCGGTAGACCGGTACGGACCGGTAGACCGGTATGGACCGGTAGACCGGCCGGTCCGGTATACCGGCCGGTCCGGTCCGGTCTACCTTTCTCGAGACCCGCACCGGTACCGGTCTGAAAAAAAGTGGACCGGTTCCATCTCTGACCTACTGTGAATTCGTACAATGAAACTTTACATATTAAATACTTTAGAACATTTCAAACACTAGGATCAGAACTTTTGGTCAAGTCTAAGTATTATGCGGGTGTAGAATTTGTCAGTTGCTTCCTACTGTGTATTAAAAGTAAAGGAAGAAAAAAAGTACCTTTTCTATTTACATCACCCGATAACTCATCATTGATAATAAAAGCTGAATTAATTTCTTTTCTATTTAGAGGTTATTTATAATATTTCAATAGCTTTCTATACATGGCAAGAAAACGTAGCAGCGAAAACCTCCTGATTGATCAAAGGTGTGACGAAATACTAAGGTGTACGACGGAGTCCCGTGACGAACAAGTATGTACTGCTTATTAATCCCTTAAATATCGATTTCTGCATAGAAAATTGAAAAATCAAGACTATATGACTTTGAATAGAGTCAGCTCTGTTTCATAGAGAAATAGAAGTCTACTGCGCAAAAATATCAAGATTCGTCGCTACTATTTGAGTTACTCAATTGTGGATGTTGTGCATAGTGTACACAAACAGCTCTGATAGTTGCTGCAATCACTCGGAAACATATTGATAACAAAATTATTATATCAGCAAATATTTTAGCAACTAGTTTTGTAAATTGATAGTTTATATCTTTTCTGTTAGTTGCAAAGCATTTGCTGACGTAATTTTTTCTTCGAATCATTTGTTCAAGAAATCGGTAATCTTCACTCTAGGGAGCAGGATAATTATAGAGAATTGTTGTTTGAATAGCATATAC